CAAACAGACAGCGTCAGTTTCACTTCAGTTTGATGTCATTTAGTATTTAGCCTCAGGGTGGAGCGATCACTGTCTGACAAGTCTCCAAAAACAGTTTAAAAGTCAGTCTTCACATTTCCTTATTTCATATCTGTCATTGAACTGTTAGTGATTAATACAGTTTATCTAATTTTATTGCTTTTGGCTGAGTATAAAGTTATGAATATTGTGTTCTGCAAGGTCTTCAGGCGTGCACGGCTGTTTCAGCAACATATGAAGTGGTCCAGTGTCTGTAGTTCTGTTCCATATTCATGTGTCAACTCCTTGCTCCCCAGGTCACCCAGTTTCTCCAGTCTGCAGCGTCACCTTGCATCACCCGATTCCAGACGCAGTTTGTGAAGGCATTTCAAGTCCACCCACCTCGAGTGCGCACTGTGAGGTTGAGTCTCTTCAGTCCAGTTGCCAGACGAAAATTGGCATTGTACATTTCTGCAAACCATGAATACATTACATCTGCAAGTTTCATATGGATCATATCAATGTTTCACAAGTAGTGCAAGAGACAGGGATGCATGATCTTGGGTTTTTTGCCAATATCTGATATGCCAGAGATGTAACAACTTATTTGGCCGATAACCAATACTGATATATCCCCTTATCCCCACCTAACTTAAGTGATCATCAGGTCTCTTCTGTAGTGCAATTAACATCATATTATACATGCATACTCTTATCGTGACGGCCCACCTGCAGATGGAGACATGAAATACAGTACTTTAAATGTATGTGATATTCATTGTGCAAAATAAGAAAAAGCATGTTGGCTGATTCTGACAGATCATTTTAAATCCGATACCAATGATGTACCGATATTATCGTGCATCCCTAGTATGAGATGACTTGTCATCAGGAGGTGGAGGGGATGGTAGATGATGAGACAGCTGTCAAGCTGCAGACCAACATCAACAGCACCAGTTGTGTTTTAGTTTCCTGTTGCTTTACAAGCAGCTTTTTAGGCTCCAAACATTGGTGTTTTTTTGTGATCCATTGTTGTTTTCCTGCCGGGATAGTGCCATGAAAGTTGTTGTTTTTTTTAAGCCAAACAACGTTCTTTGCCTAAACCTTATCACGCATTAAAGGGGCAATAAGCCGAAATTCATCATTTCTAGATTGAAGGAATTAAAAAATTGCTATGTGAAGAACCAGAGGTGTAATTTCATCTGGAGTATAGCATGACCTCACACACCCTCTCTCTGTGTAGATCTCCAGCCCATTGTTTACAAGCAGCTGCGCGTTCATGTACGTTCATGTACGTTCATGTACGTTCATGTGAATCGCCGCCTCCTCCCTCCTTATAAAAGACTACAGCCAGTGAGCAATGGCAGCGCGTATTTTGGAAGCAAAATGGCGGAGAGCGGAACGAAACGTTCACCTGAAGACAACCAGGATCCGGCATTACCTCTTCTTCGTTGGCGAAGAAGTTGTCGGATAAAGAAAGGAACAGAACCCGGATTAACATTGGCCTTGCATTTCCAAGGTGGAGAGCACTGCGAGAGCTAAAGGGAGAGCAGAGTAAGAGGGAGGAGTGGCTCATGACACACTTTGTTTTGGTCTACAGGCAGTGCACAACAGCAAACCTAGCGGTGAAACGATTTCGCTTTTTGCCCCTTTAACCACAACATTATTAAAACATAAAGAAACATTAAGTTTCAACATAATAACGTAGAAATGTAGTGTTTCAGTGGTTTGCAAAAATGTACAGTGTCAATATTTTTTCTGGCAGTTAGGTTGAATTTCTACCAGGAGAGAGACTGAAGAGTCTTTTGTTCCATGCTGCAATTCCTACTGTGATTTTGGCTTCGGAGGGGGTTACAGTCTCAATGAAGGTTTCTCTGGGTTGGATTTGTTTTTGACAGGTGACTGACTGCATCTAAAGCAGATGCCAAACACAGAGAGCTGGCGTTCTTTTCTGCCTGCTGTGCTGCGTCTGATTTCAGGAGGGGCCACGCCTGATAGCATGTTCAGACCATCTGTCAATTTACATCTGAATAACCTGTTACTAAGCGATGGTCAGCGTTGATGGTGGTGTCCAGTTTCTTCACGTGGACTGATCTGTCCCATGTTGGTAATGTATACGCAGCCGTTGAGTAGCAGAGGACTAGTGCAGCGGATCGCAGGGTTTGTGGGTTGATGTTCCAGCTGGTGCCATTGAGTTTGGAGATGATGTTGTTTCCCACAAAAATTTTGTCTTTTGGATTTGTGGTCTGAATGAAAGACATCCAGTGCACAAGTAAGATGTGTGTCCACAGCGTTCCAGGTTTGTTTCAGACCTAGCTTCACAGGTGTGAGTCACATACCTGGGTTTGTGATGAGTTTGCACGGAGGTGATTGTCTTCGTAGTTTTGTGTTAGCTCGTTCAGAACATTAGAGACTTTTTCCTCGACAATGATGAAGTCACCTCTTTCGCAGCCTCACCTAGATCATCTGCATAGATACACCAGCTGGTTTCCTTGCTTCTTGGTTGGTCGTTGGTGTAGATGTAGAGCAGGACTGGTGCAAGGACCCCGCCCTGTGGTAGACCTTATTACCTTCCAGCTTAACATAGAACAATTTGTTCTCTAGTGTACTTTACAGTTCCATCAGCTGGGTGTTGTTTGTTTTCTCCTGGGTCTTGTGGAGGAGGAGTCTGTGCTGGACAGTGTTGTAGGCAGAGGAGAACTTAACAAACACTGCTCCAGCAACCATCCCTTTCTCCAAGTGATAGAAAGATCGGCAATTTGATCCCAGGCTCCTCCAGTGCGCACTGGCTTTTACTCTTACCACTGTGCATATGCTGGTGAATCTGAATCATTCTAAACTGACAGGCACGTGCTCGCTATCTGCAAACAGCATACTGCCACGCCCTCATTTATTGATACATGGAGATAAGTTTGCCCAGAGGTGTGTCATGGAGAAAGCGGTGAAGTTGTTTCCACGCATCAAGGCCCTGATGCACCAGCATTGGATCGTCAGTGGGCGTCGGTGAATGTGAAGGCAGTCACAAACAGCTGATCAACCATTAGTCACTCTCTTCCAACATGTTCAAATGTCAAATGTCAAAAACTGGGAAACTCTGTTTTCATAGTTACATTTTTTAATAAATAATTGATGAGGATGAAAAGGTGTCAATTTCATACTTATTCAATACATTTGACCAACATGTTAGTGAATAAACAGTTTTAAATATTGTCTATTAAAGCCTTGTTGAATAATTACAGTTTTAATATGCTCTGCCAGCCGGGCTGTTATCATTTCTGTGCATGTATGGTCTGAGGCAGAGGTGTTCAGAGGCGGCGCTGCCTCGTTGCAGCCGTCTTGTTGACGTTGAGATATGTAAACAAACTACACATCTCGCAGTGATGTGAGAGATGGAGCCAATCACAGCCTGGAGCACGTTCTCACACTTCACTGTCATTGATGACATCAATCAATTCACTGAATCTGTGGTGAATTTACTGTCAAACACTGACGCTTTGGGTTCTTACCACCAACCCAAAGTGTTGGTATTTGACAATCTGGGAATGACTCAAGTTACAACCAGCACCTTTAATTAAAATAAAAGATATGTGTTTCTCTGTTTGCCATAAAAATAATACCAATATCACCTGCAGGTGCGCTGAATAACCGTGATAGTCATCACAGGAAAATTCTGTATATTTGCTTCAGAAATGTTGTTTGTTGTGTTCATCCATCCATTTTCATCCTCTTATCCGGGGCCAGGTCTGAGCTGAGCAAAGCACCCCAGACGTCCCTCTCCACAGCAACGCTTCCCAGCTCCTCCTGGAGGATCCGGGAGTGTTCCCAGGTCAGATGAGATATATAATCCCTCCAGTGTGTTCTGGGTCTGCCCCGGGGCCTCCTACCAGTGGGACGTACCCAGAACACCTCCAGCGGGAGGTGCCCAGGAGGATCCTGATCAGATGTTGAACCACCTCAACATGAAGGAGCAGCGGCTCTACTAAAAGCTCCCTCCAGATGTCTGACTCCTCCCCCTATCTCTAAGGCTGAGCCCAGACACCCTACAGAGGAAACTCATTTCAGACGCTTGTATCTGTGAGCTCATTCTTTCAGTCACTACCCAGAGCTCATGACCATAGGTGAGGGCTGGGACGGAGATGGACCAGGAAATCGAAAGCTTCACCTTCCTGCTCAGCTCCCTCTGAACCACGACAGTCAGGTGCAGCACCTGCATCACTGCAGACACAACGCCAAACTGCCAGTCCATCTCACGCTCCATTCTACCCTCACTGTGAACAAAACCCCGAGATACTTGAACCCCTTCTCTTGAGGCAGTAACTCTGTCCCAACCCAGAGGGAACAATCCACTGTTCTCCAGCAGAGAGCCATGACCTCAGATTTGGAGGTGCTGACTCTCATCCTGACCGCTTCACACTCAGCTGCAAACCGCCCCAGGTCACGCTGGAGGTCACTGTGTGATGGAGCCAACAGAATCACATCATCTGCAAAAAGCAGAGATACAATTCTAAGGTCACCAAACCGGACTCTTCCTCCCCCCGGCTGCACCTCGAGATCCTGTCCATGAATATCACAAACAGGATCAGAGACAAGGGACAACCCTGGTGGAGGCCACACCCACTGAGGATGTGTTTGACTTTACGGCGAGCATGTGGACGCAGCTCTCGCTTTGGTCATACAGGGACCGGGCGGCTCGTAGCAACGACACCATGTCACGATTTTATATCATGATAATGACATAAAGTGAGATGCTGGAAATGTTCTGCAAAATAAATTGAAAACTGTTTATAGATAAAATAACCAGACTGGAATGTTTTGGGTTTATCCAGAAAAGTAAATTAAAAGTACTTCATCACATTGAATCCAAAGTAATTTAAAAATCAAATATAACCATAAATCTTCGCTGTTTATTCATGTGTTCATCTATGATGTTCTTCACCACCTTTATGAAACTGAATCATGTGACTGAAAAGGCGAGGCGGCAGCAATAAACCACAACAAACTGGTTAATTTCAAACATTTCATTATTTTCTCCACATTAACTTCGAAACAACCTCATAAACCAAAGAGTAAGAAAGAGCATGCTTGGGCATGCAATGATGTCACAACTTGATGATGCCACTGGGTGCGAAGTATAAAACATACAGTAGCAGAGAGTTTCTTTTTATATCATTCATAAACTCAGGACGTTTCGGTAAATCCACTGAGAGTTTAAAAGCTAGCGTTTATTTTACACTGCTCTCCATGTCTCACGTAGCCTTGTGTTGCTGGATTAAAAGAGACGAGAGGGAGAAACTCACAAACTGACACCAGATTGAGCAGGCTGAACAAACATGCTGAAAAAAATCTCATCCGGCCCAAAAAGTGTCTGGAAATGACACCGTAGAAACCCCATTTTTCCCTTTTTGACTGGTCCTAAAGGGGGAGAGAGACAAAACAGTGCATGCCATTTCAGGGTGGAAGGGAGGTTTGTGTGTGTGTCGTGTCTGTGTGTTTGTGTGTGTGTGTGTGTGTGTGTGTGTGTGTGTGTGTGTGTGTGAGAGAGAGAGTGTGTGCTGGGGGGGAAGGGCGGGGTCACCTTTCTTAATGTTGAAGGTTATTTGTCTCCTCTCAGCCTGGGTGTTTTATTATCTTGGGTCGGGGTTTTTTAAATAAATTAGAGACGGAAAAATGAATAAATACGAGGCACTCAGCATTCTCTCTGTCTTGCAAACTGCAAAAAAGTAACAAACTTTGATAATAATGACACATACACATATATAGTAGAATTAGTGGTTATAACATAACAGTCTCAAGGCTGTACAAAGGGGCAAGGCTGAACCCTCCTCAGTATGTCAGCAGTTAAATGTGTATGTTTTTTTTTTTCTTTTCTTTTTTTGCGTGCGAATGTGTTTCACTTAACAATAAATTCAGGAAGTTCCTCGAGGTTTAGACTCATGGGTCTTGGAGTGTGTTGGTCGCTGATGAATCCGATGCGCTCGGATTCGGTGATTCTGACTGGACGTGAGGTGACAACCAGGATGGAGTGCGTACAAATGAGGACAGAACAGTGATGTTAAAGGGATAGAAAATGCACTTTTAAAACCCCACACAGCCTCATGCAATGGTTGTGTGTGCAGTTCGTAGTGGAAAAAAGAAAAGAATAATGACGGAGCCCTTTAAAATGGATCTACTCTTGCAGCATAGTTCTGTATGTAGCGCATAGTGCGAATAGGGGTTAGAGACTGGTGGATGGGGGCCGACAGGGGAAAGGGTTAAAGGGGGGGGGGTTATTGTTTCTGGAGTGTGTGCCATGCTCTTGGTTAGCATGTCTCTCATGATAACCAGGAAACAAGGGTTGCTGTATTCTCGTCTAGGGTGATGGAAAAATGGGCAAAACTGCCTGTGCCATCTCCAGTCCATTGAACAGCTGATGGACACCCATGCACGTGTGTCCCGATACACCACGCTAGTTTAAAGCTGCGCTCTTTATTCTTACTTTCTTTTCTATGGTTGCAAGCTCAAAATAAGCATCTGAAAAGGAAACGGTGTTTTCGTAGAAACTGAAACGGGCTTCAACAGAGGTGGAAAAGACCAGTAGCAACAATAGAAAGGCTCTGCTGTGTCCGTCACTCGGGCTGCGGGCTCCAGTCGAATAGGCAGAATGTCCGTCTCAGTAAGTAATAATATAATATACCGTAGTTATCAATAAGTCTTAGTAGATCATACCTGTATAAGCTTAAATAAAGAAGTGAATGAAAAGAATGGCTACTCCAATATTGAGTAAAATGACCATAACCACCAGAATAGAGCTGGAGCCCTGAAAGAGAGGAGAGAAGGAGAAAAGGAAGAAGAAGTTAGTCCAGTTCATGCACAAGTTCTCTCAAAACAGATGTGTAGTCCCTCCCCTTCCCCTGTCCATCATGGGACCTTATTTAATAAAAATATGTACAGTACAGACGTATATCGAGCAAGACGAGAGCTGTTGTCCACTGAGCGATTTCACACAAAACCAAATAGTATAACGACAAACCTACGACACACTGCGACTTTCGTAACTTGCAAAATCATCTTTTAAATTGACAAATGACACGTGATTAATGACACAAACAGGATCAGAATATCTCTCCATGTTGACGACTGTAGACATTTTTCCTGATACAAGGTCCCGTGGTGGACGCTGGAAGGAGAGGGACTTCAGCTCTCTGTGCAAACTGATAAAAGAAAAACATGAAGTCGGCTTCAACTGAGAAGAGGAGGCCGTTAAAAGGGATCAAGGTTGTAATAAATCCTTTAAGTGGAACTACGCCCATTTTCATAATCATACATTATTCCTATTGTCTGAGATGCTCCAAAATATTAGTAAACATGAACAGCTGTCTAGCTGGTATAAAGTCTGGAGCTGCTCCACCGACAGTTAACTGGGATAAATGTTCGAGATCACTGGTTCCCAACTGGTCCAGACTTCTCCTCAATCATCAGCTCAAGGTTCACACAGTTTAATATATTCAGTGTCGTACTAGTGTCGATTGGTTGTGTTGTCAAATTAGGCTGCTGTCTCTGGCAAGTAGCTGTCCATTAGTAACTCACTCTATGGCAGGAAATTGCACTTCAAAATAAAAGCTCTGTGCTGGAAATTCACTGTACAAATTTGACATGTTTGTGAGTCACTTGCGGTCAATGTTAATTTTGACAGCTATTTTAGATTAAATCTTCGTAGATGAAAATGTTCAAACAAAAATTCATGACATTTAATTTAACTTTGAATCATTATGTTTTCTATGTTGTTGTTTTTTATCCTTAAACTAATCCAGTGAGGCTCATTCATGTTCAGAAATTAGAATCAATGTGACAGGTTGTATAAAAATTTCATGTAGACATTTTTTTTAACAACAACAAATAATTTCTGCACACTTACAAACTGTCATTTCTGCAGCATTAACAGCTTTCGCTGCTCCGCTCTGACTGTTTCTGCTGGCTACTGGTGCAGACTATTTACTGGAGTTAACAGCCTGTTGCTCATGCTGCATTTGAAGATAATCAGAAGCGCAGCCGTTCTCGGGCATGGCATGTCCAGTAGTCCACCACGAACATTTTCAATTTATCAACGAAAATGAATAATAGATTTCATCTTAGTTTTTATGATCAAGATCTATATTTAGCCTGTTATTGTTTCGTTTTTGTCATGGAAAAAGGTTGTTGCCAAGAATCACAATGTTTAGCTACAATAATTTCCAGGTAGAAAGCTCTCGCGTCCCTTTCACAAAATCAAACAGCACAGAGCAAACGCTGCCTCCAGCCACTTAAAAAAGGCCAACCTGGGTCAGTCGGACCACCATGTTTCACTATATATCTTTAAATGCTACAGTTACAGCTGAAAACGACAACAGCAATAAAAGTTTGATGATTTTACATATCTGCTCAATTCAAATTAGTTGCCAGTCATCTATCTGGAAGTGACTGTTGTTGGCGCGACGTCACAGTGATTTGGTCCATATGGGTACATCATCTATTTCAGAACTGAGAACACGACGACAGAATGAAGCTCATTTTGGTATAAAAATGAAAACGAACATTCTGTGTGTCCATAAAATCATAAAGTCAAATTTTACATATTGGACCTATTATTTTTTGCTTCCTTGATGAACCTTTGACGCTAAGTCTTCTGTCTATACATGAAGTATGAGAGCTTACAGGTGATTAGCTTAGCTTAGCATAAAGACTGGAAGCAGAGGGAAACTGCTAGCCGAGGCTACCAATGCCTCTAAAGCTCACTGGTTAACATGTTGTCGCTCTCATGTTTAACCTGGACACAAACAGGAATGTTGAGACGATAAGTTGTGGAAGTATTAAACTCTTAGTTTTTCTTTCGATGATTCAGTTGCTGTGATGAACCCTCAGCACATAAAGGGATTGTTAAACAGGCAGACAGGAAGCGTGCTGACTCACTGAGTTTGATTTGAGGGTGAGATGCTCTCCTTCCTGCTCCAGAGTGATGGGCTGAGACTTGAGGGGTGGGGAGAGGGTGAGGTCCCTGTGCAGCGGCCACTCCTCCAGCTCTGCCCCCACATTCAGGTTGTCCAGCATCTGTACAGAGTCCATGGATCCCTCTCTGACCGGCCGAAGGCCTCGCGATCGCAGCCTGTTGTTTTTGGGGGCCGGGGACTCCGGGCCCAGCCCCCGAGACGTCTGCGAGTCCGGACACTGGAGCCTCATGTCCACCGTATAGTCATTCATCCTCTCCTCGTCCTGCTCTGTGAGGCGCGAGTGGGCGGGGCTCCACCTAAGGGTGCTTTCAGCAGTCCAACCCCCGGTGAGGCCGTCTAGCCTTTGGTCGATTACAGCATGCTCGTTAAGCTTGTGGTTGGAGGGGTTGTGCTGCTTTGGATGGTGGTTGGAGTAGACATGCTCTCGAGGGTTGTAACTAGAGGAGACGTGGTCCTTTGCATTGTGATTGGAGGAGATATAATCTTGGGACTTGTGATTGGAAGAAGCATGCTCAGAAGTCTTGTGATTGGACATGTTATGTTCCAAGGCCTTGTGATTGGATAAAATGTGCACCTGCGGCTTGTAGTTGGAAGAGGCATGCTCGCAGGCCTTGTGATTGGTGGAAGAATGATCCCATGTTTTGTGATTGGAGGACGAGTACTCCCTCGACTTGTGATTGGAAGAGGCTTGCTTGGAGGGCTTTTGGTTGGACAAGGAGTGCTCCCACGCTCTGTAGGAGGAGGCGTGCTCCCGGGACTTGTGATTGGACGAGGATTTCTCCCGTGGTCTGTGGTTGGACAGAGGGGCTTGCTCGTGGCCGTTAATTTGGCCCTCCTGCTCCTCCAGGAGGGAGGGTGTGGTGGAGCGGCTGCTGCCCCCGCGGTCCGGATACATGTCATCAGTCCAATTGTTAGCCCCGCCCCTGGGCAGATCCATGCCCCGCCCCTCCACCAGCACCTGGATCTCTGCCCCGCCCTGATCGTCCACAGCGCTCTGGCGCATGAAGCAAGCATTTCTGGGGCGATGGGCGTGCTTGGGCGGGCTGTGGGGGGGCGAGGTGGGCACGCTCAGCACGGGGCTGAGATCAGGTGTTATTACAGGCGGCGTTGTGTCCGGCGTGCACAGCTCCGGACTGTCTGTTCCCGTGGAGATCACCTCATGGTCTTTGTCCTTGCCGTCCTGGTGCTTGGGCCTCTGACATTCGAGCCCTACGAAAACAGTTGGAGAATAACACCAGTGAGGAGACCTGGCACCGAGCCACAGCGAGTCCATCACCGTGTGTGTGTGTGTGTGTGTGTGTGTGTGTGTCAGTGTTATTAGCATGCAGGGTAACAAAAGGAGAGAAAAGCTGCATACAAACTGCATCTGGTGCTGACAGTCACTGTCGGCTTAGAGAGGATTAACTAAGTGAATACACTTGATTTGGTTTGAATTCTCGAAGGCTTTAATCCTCTGTACTTTATTATGAGATCAAAATATGTAAGTAAACACTGAACCCACTGTAAATCCACATGTTTATATA